GCAGGGCTCGCAGCCTCAGCAGAGTCTGCGCTGGCAGCGGTTGCGCCTTCATGGGGTCCTTGTAGAGGAGCAGGTAGTAGAGCCCCAAGGAGAGGAGGTCCCCGTGCCTCAGCACCACCGTCTGGGCCACCTGGGCGAAGTTGATGGAGATGCCAGCTCCGGAGATGGGTTCCAGCACCAGCTTCTCCTCCGAGCGATGGCGGGAAGGTCGGAGCTTCCTGATGGTGCAGTGCAGGGGGAGGATGTCAGGGGCTGAGAGGCTGATGCTGGGCTTGCTGGCCTGCGTCCTCTGGCCCACCGTGTGCTGCTCGCGGTTCAGCAGGTACACCAAGCTGTCCTGCCAAGCAGGGAGAAGCAGCATGAACCAGGAAGGGGGGGCAAAAAAAGGCACCCTCCTCCCCACCGCCGTGCAGTGGGTGCTGCAGCCTCCCGTGCCCCCGGCTGCCCACCCACCCGTGGCACCTTTGCACGGCAGAAACACCTTTCTCCCTCTACTTTTCTTGCTGCCCAGCAGGAGAGCAGCCATCCCTGCCTTGGCCACCCTAAAACATGGGCACAGTAACTTTGGACGTGCAGGAAATAGGGCTGCTTTGGGCAGAAGGAACCCTCCCTCCACCTCTCACCCCCTCCTCTCCCGCAGCTGCTTTTCCTTCCCATCTTCTCTCCCCACCAAGGCTGCGGTGGGGGGGAGGATGGTGGGACCGTCCCCTTCTCCCCCCAGAGCAGCAGGTTCCTGTCCCCCAGCCTGTCACACACCCCGAGGCAGCTCACACCACCCCCCCGTGCTTCAGTTTCCCCAGCTGTGCTAACAGGTGAGGGCTGCGCAGCCTCCCGTGCCCCCGGCTGCCCACCCACCCGTGGCACCTTTGCACGGCAGAAACACCTTTCTCCCTCTACTTTTCTTGCTGCCCAGCAGGAGAGCAGCCATCCCTGCCTTGGCCACCCTAAAACATGGGCACAGTAACTTTGGACATGCAGGAAATGGGGCTGCTTTGGGCAGAAGGAGCCCTCCCTCCACCTCTCACCCCCTCCTCTTCCCGCTGCTGCTTTTCCTTCCCATCTTCTCTCCCCACCAAGGCTGCGGTGGGGGGGAGGATGGTGGGACCGTCCCCTTCTCCCCCCAGAGCAGCAGGTTCCTGTCCCCCAGCCTGTCACACACCCCGAGGCAGCTCACATCACCCCCCCCATGCCTCAGTTTCCCCAGCTGTACTAACGGGTGAGGGCTGCAGTGCCAGTGCCACCCTGCCAGAAAGCTCACAACACCCAGGCACCCAACGGGGACAAGGCAGCCATTAACTCAAGAGCCCTCCCAGTCCTTTCCAGTTCTCCAGGCGCCTCCAGCACTGGGGAGCAGTGGGCTCCCAGACGTGCTGTCTCCTCGCTGCCTCTCATTAGGTTTGCCACTAACGAAGCGGCCAGACAGGGGTTCAGCCATCACCCACAAAACCGGGCCTCCCTTGTGCCAGGGCAGGGATGCTGCTCCGGGGGCTTTCCCCGTGACAGGGGGGGTGTGTTGGAGGGGGGGGGTGTCACAAGCCCTTGCTTCACACCCCCCTCTTTCCACTCCGTGCGTGGGGACAGCCTGGGGGGCAG